GCCATGAGCCACTCCCCGAGCTGGGCAGCAGTGGGTCCCGCCATCGAGGGCCATCACCCTCCGGGCCCGGCCTTGCAGCTTTTCACCCAGGCGATGCAGATCTGCCCCCATGCCCAGGCAGGGCTGCTGTGAAGACGGAGACGAAAGGGTTCTGAAAGGCCCGCGGGGGCCTGCAGGCCTTCCCCCAGCCCCAGGGGGCTCCTGGTGGCCTCTGCCCACCGCTTCCGAGCTCACACTTCTTCCAAACTCAGGAATGCCACTGGATAAAAATACCAGCAGACAGATGTCATCAGGCCTGCCTGGCTGTGGGGCCAGGAGGAGAGAGACGGCAAGAGCTCCGAGGGGGCCCGGGCGCCGAGCTGGATACCAGGTGACACTTCTGTGAGCACATATCCCTGGTGGGGATCAGGTGACAATTGAGACAGCTCCCCAGGGCCCTGCCCACCCACTCGGACGCTCTAAAGCCGAGCAGCCCTGGGACCAGCACACGAACGCCAGGCACGGCCCCCGAGCGGCTGAGACTGGAGGCCAAGACCCAGGTGTCAGCAGGGCTGGTTCTGAGGCCTCGCTCCTTGGCGTGTAGACTTCCAAGTGTGTCCTCTCCCCGTGTCCCCATATGGTCATGTCTCTGTGTGTGTCTGTGTCCTGATCTCCTCTTGTTGAATGGCCCCCGTCACATGGGATCAGGGCCCAGCCCAGTGATCTCCTTTTAACTTAATCACCTGTTTAAAGACCCCATCTCCACATACGGTCACGTTCGGAGGTCCTGGGTGTTAGGATTCCAATGTACCTTTTTGAGGGGCACAGTTCAACCCAAACAGAGGGGACCTGTGCAAACCCACCATGAGTCCGTGTGCCAAGACCTCCAACGCACAAAATGGCCCCTCGCCTCATCCCCTCAGCAACTGGGGACCCTCAGCATCTATGTCCCGGCCCGGCCCTCAGGCAGGTCTGCCATCAGCATCGCTGAGGCACCTGATGTCTGTCTTCCCCAGGACCAAGCCCCACTCCCAGTCCTGGGACACACGGCTGCGACATGTGAAGGTCCCAGTGCATGGGGACTGTTGAGTGCAAAGCGGCCCCTCCTGTCCCTTCAGTGCCCTTGGCACCCCCTCGGGAGCAGGCACCGAGCTCACAGAGAGCCACTGACTCCGTGCCAGGCACAGGTGGCTGTAGTCTCCCACCTGAGGAGATGCAGACTCGGAGAGCTCAGGGACCTGGCAAGGTGGCCGGCCACGGGCAACACTCAGACACGAAGCCCATCCCTGCCCATGTCTGAGCTCCACGCACTGTCCCACAAGCCCCACATCCTGCGCCACGCAGCCTCCTGACCCCAAACCTGAGTGCATGCTGGGGTACGGTGGGAAAAGACCGGACAGTCTGTCCTCCTCTGTACCCGGCTGCCACGCCCCCCATCCACGGGGACTCCCCCCCACCCCAGCCAACTCCCCTTCAGAGTCTGCAGAACTGCAGGACCCTCACACCAGAGCCTGGGGCCGGGCCGGCACCAGGTGCCACTGAGTGGTAACATGTGGCCCATGAACTGGCCTCCACTTTTGGAAAGGCGGGCTTAGCCCAACAAACTGCCAGGGCCAGCTTCCAGCACCGTCAATGATTAACACCTCTGTGAAGGTGCCGCCAAAGCCACCAGAGAGTTCTTGGGAACCTGGGAAAGGCAGCGGCAGGAGGGTGGGGACCGGTGGCACAAGCCGAGTCTGAGAGCCTCACCCCTCTCTACTAAGCCCTGGGACCCTCTGGCAAACCCCTCTTCTCAGCCGGGTCTCCAAGTATCTCCCAACCACAGTGGACACTGACTGCAGGGGGCGCTGTGCATTGCAGGGGGAAACTGAGGCACAGAGGACAGGGGGCTCGCCCAGGGGCAGACAGCCACAGCGGTGGCTGGGGGAGTCCAGGCTGCATGGGGAGGAGGGTGGGTGAGGGCAGCTGGGAAGAGAGTCTGCCCCTGCCATCCTGCGGCTCCCACGTGCTGGGGGGAGGGTAGGGAGAAGTGGGAAGGAGGGGTTCCTTGGGGCTCCTATGACTGGAAGCCCCTCACCAGCCAGAGGAGGGGTGAGGAGTCCTGGGGGCAGCCCTGACCCTGCCCTCTGCGGGAAAGGGGGGCAGCATTGCTATGGGGACCCTGGCTCCCTCTCCAGTCTGGGTACCTCCCCTATCTGATCACCCACCACTCACCGTCCCAGCTGAGGCCCATCAGCAGAGCTGCCAGGAGCCCCCTGTGCCCTCAGCCAGGGTGGGAGCTACCACGAAGGGCCTTGGAAGAGGACGGGGGAGCGGCAGGGAGCCCAGTGGGCAGGGGCAGTGGCCACAGCAGCAGTGTCCTGCTCCCTGACCCCAGCAGACGGGGCAGGCCAGGCGCACACAGCATGGGGCAGGGGTTCCCCGGTGACGCGGAGGGGCCAGGATGTCCTGGCTTGCTTCCCTGGCTGCATCTAGGAGAGTATGCCCAGCCCTGCAGGGCTGCCCAGACAGCGGATCCCACCTCAAACCCCCACACTCACAAGGGGATCCCAGCCCTTCAAGGCCAGGCTCAGCCTTCTCACCCAGAAACCAAGCCAGGCCCTGGGGGGCGCGTTTCACAACCCGACCCACCAAGGACAGAACTCTCTGCTCTCTCAGCCGCTGCTGAGAGGAGCCCCAGGGCCAGAGCGGCTGCCGTCCATCGCTTTCACCCATCCCCTTTCACGGGGCTCTGACCACTCAATCCCAGCTCGAAGGCCAGGCTCCCTGGGAGAGTGTCTGGGGCTCCGCTGACCTCCTGGAGACACTGAGGTGAGGGGGCACCTGCCCAGACCCCAGACAAGCCGCTCGCCCAGCCTGGCCAGGGTCCACCTCCCCTGCCGCCCTGCACAGGGGGGCTGTGCAGGCGTCCACTCCCCAGGGCCACACACAGCTCTTACAGGACAGGGTCCAGGGTAGGAAAAGACTGACCCGAGGTCACACAGCCACCTTCAGAGCCCATTCCTGGCTCCCCCCACAGACAGGCCGCTGAGCCACTGTGCCCCGAAGCCAGCCCTGCCCCGCCAGCTCCTGGGAGGCTGGGCAAAGGCGCTCAACTGAGCAAACTTCCGAGAGCCAAACAATCAGAATCAGGAAGAAAACACAAGTGTAAGCAGAGACTTCCTCTGGGGTGCGGCAAGCCCTCTTCCTCCACACGGCCAGGAGCCTGAGCGACACTCGGCTGCCAGCCGGCATCTCCCGGATGGGAACCAGTGGGGTGTCTGGGGGCCCCTTGCCCTGGCAGCCCCCCCAGGGTGGGGGCATTGCAGCACTGCCGGGCAGCCCACCGCCCACGCCTCCCCTGTGCTGGCATGTAAGGCGGCAGGACGGAGACGGCTGGGTAGGGTCTACCGCAGAACCCGGCTGTGGGGTCCGCCCCACCCCTGGGCTTCTCAAGGCCAGGAGGCAGGCAGCACATGTGCACAATGGCACCCACGAGCCTGGCATTGGCCACGTGTTTGCACAGCAGCATTGGACTCAGGTGGGGTCCCTTGAGGTCACTGCACAGAAACATCTCAAGACAAGCCACTGCTGCTGTAGCCGTGGGCAGGGCCACCCTCCCTCAGACAGTCCACGGCCAGGGCTCAGGTACCCTCTGACGCTTCGGGAGGCTGGGGCAGGGGTGGGGAAGAGGCTTGAAACCTGCGGCCCATCCATGCCTTTGGAGACATTGTTTTCGTCCCTCCTGCCAGGGAAGGCTGGCCCCTCACAGCAGGGACGGCAGCAGCCCTGGTACCACACGCACTCCCAGCGGAGCAAAGGTGGGAAGCTGAGGCCGCCTCACCCCACACCGCCGCCTCCCCTGCTGGAGATGATGCTCCAAGCGGGCGCGGCTTGGACCCCCTTGCAGCCCTGGGGGCACCGGTGGGAGAAAACAGGGCTCTGGTCACCCTGGGCCTCTCCCAGCCATGGCAGCAGGGATGGGCAGGGCCACTCGGAAGCCAGAGGGAGACCACCCCATGCAGCCCCCAGAGGATCACCCAAGATCAGCCTGAGGACAACCATGTGAAGGCTCACGGAACAGAGGCTGGCACCATACCAAGAGGCTGCTGGCCGGGCAGCCAGGAAGTAGGCCCACGAGATGGGGGGGGTGGAGGGGAGGTGCGGGCTCCAGGCAGGCAGCAAGGAGGGCGGCCCTGAGGAGGGAACTTCCTCGTGCCCCCGTCCCTGAGCAACGAAGGGCCATGCCCTCCCCACGCAAGCATGCCATTCCAGGGACTGGAGCCACCTGGATAACAGCAGGAGCCAGCCAGGTGCTGCCCATAGGGCCCGGCCGCCTCCGCGCACAGCTTCCTCTGATTGACGGCTGGAAACGAGCCCCCTCCAGGCTCCTCTGTCAGTCCAGGGTTCATGAGTTTGACTCCCTGTGAGCGCTCGCCACCGCCATGCTGACCCCTCCGGGCATGACACCAGACCTGCCACCCTCCAAGGCAGCCTCGCCCCCGCCGGCCCGGGGAGACTGTTCCCTACAGGGCCTGCCTGGACCTGGGAGGGTCTGGGGTGTTGCTGCCCAGTAGGGGCACGGGGCTCTCTCCTCTTGGGGGGCCCCTGAGTAGCACGTGCCGGCTGACCCTGGGGACTTCCCTCCCCTGCACCCTGCACCCAAGGTTGTGCTGCCCTGGCACCACCCTTCCCCCCAAACATTAACACCTGGGCTGTCCCTCCAGGGAGGCGTGGAGGCGACTTCTGAGCTGGACCCCCCTCCGCAGCTGGCTGCCCCCCACACCCACACACACCGCCTGGGCATCTCAGCCACAGGTGTCCCTCACGGGGTCCGGCCCAAGAGTCCCTGAACGGAAGGGACCGGCTCCTCGCAGCTCTCCCCGTGGACCCCTTCCCCTCCTCCCGGCCGCTCTGGGTCACACGCAGCTCGGGGCCGGCCCGGCGGCGGCAGGTGGCGCGGGCACCGCGCTGCGTCCCCTCCCCTCGCCGGCCGCGGAGACGGCCCCTCGGAGCTCGGCGTCGCCGGAGGCGATACTCACACCGCGAAGTGGTAGACGAAGCACTTCCAGCCGGTGGGGCGCTCCAGGAAGTTGTAGACGCGGCCCTGGACGTGGGTGCGCGCGAGCAGCGGGCGGCGCGCGCTGTAGATGGAGACGCGCGGGTCGAGGCTCACGGGCGGCCGCGGCCCGAGGTCGGCGGCGGGCGGTGCCGCGGGCGCGAAGAGCG